GTTTAGTTAAAGGAGGCTGGATGCAAGAGGGAATGTGTGATTTAAAGCTGCTTCTTTACTTACATCCCACCCCAATCTCTGGGTTTAGGAAGGCTTACAAGAAGTTTAAAACCATACTTAGTACTTATTTTAATCATGGGAAATGTTGCAACTATTACACAAATGGAAAGTGTGCTGCCATTAGTTCCTCCTATCCTCCTTTTGATCATTAGGATTTACCAACACAATCTTATTGCAACAGCAAAAACCTATGAAGGTCAAGGGAGAGTTAATCACAGCAACTGGCTCTGATCCTCTCCCCTCTGGAGATCCGCCAAAGCCTAAGCATTTTCCAAAGGCAATGCCAGCCCTTTTTCATTTCGACTGGCATTGGATGACTGGGAGTTAAGCCAATAGGGAGCTATTTTGAAATTGGCCATGTCTTTCCTCTATGCCCTCATTTTTTCAATCTTTGTTGTAAATATGCTCCTTGCTTTTTTCAGGCTGGGTGAGAAACCCAGGAGAATCAATGCAGAATAATTATTTATTCCGAAAGGATACCATCAAAAAACTCAGAAAGAGATCATCAGAATGAACTCAGCTGCCAAATTTGCTCCGCCTGTTTGCTGGCTGCCATATTGAATTTCCCCCATTGAGTCCCAAGAATCATCAAACTATGGAAACTGCCAGCATATGGATACAGAAACATTGGAAGCTGGTTTCTTCTTTGCTCTTATGCACTTTTAGTATACATCCTTTTCTGGGAATAAGTCCAATGGACCTAGTAGAACATAGTTTGAAGTAGACACGTATAGGACTTCACTGAAAGTTACAAAAACAAATTATGGCACCACTCACAAATTTTGTAAAAAATACAATGATTTTTCTAAAATGGAACGAGGCCTTTCACATTCACTTAAGTGTGAGCCAAGTAACCAGACTTGTTATGTCGGGTGCTTGGTTCATTTTAAATCAGTGTTCAGCTTCTTACTGTATTTTTGTAATAAAAATGTGTTACTCATATCTTATTAGTATATGGATATGATGAAACCAATAATATTAAGTTCTCCTTCTGTTTATTTATATCCCATTTTTTCTCTCCACAAGGAGACTCAAAGCTGAATATCCTATTATTCTGAGAATTCCAGCCATTGTGAAATACCTACAATATGATGACAATGCCAACAAATGCTATATTGTTAAACTTAATGATTAGAAACAAACTGTACCAAGAACAAAATGGTGCAACATTGTAAAACAGTAGTTTTAAAAGGAGTGTTATTTAGCATTGGGTGTTGCTGAATTCAGGTCACTTTTTCCAATTCATAGATTACACATTTTTGTGAATCACAGTAATGTTGTTGCAATATTTAGGTCATGAACTAGTTCGTTATGAATAGGTCTTCATAGACAACAGATAAGGGAAATATTCACAGATATAAGTTATTGGTGTATTAATGTATTGGAAAATAAAACAGCAGTTAAATCCAAAAGTCAGAATACAAAACATAAGATGACTAAATTATCTTTTATTCTCACCTTTTTGTACTTCATAGCCAGATACAGTACATGATTCTATAAATACAAAGAATTTAACAACTAAAAAAATGAATGTTCCACATCTCTATTGATTTTTAGTGTTTATTTTAACAAGTCTCTAACTCTTTGCAAAATCATGTTTATCCATTTGCATAGAAATGAGCACAGAGTCGTTAAAATGACCTCTACATACTATTTTTAACCACATTAAACTTCTTAGTTATTCATATTGGTAATTTCTAATTTGAAGTTATGGGTACCCTCTAGTAAAAGCACTGACGCCCCAGAAAGTTAATATGAAAAGTATCTACTACTATTGTTTCATCCATAAATTTGTCAAAGTGGAATCCGAGGATACAAAAACAGCTCCAAGGTTTTATGATGGGTAACACACTCTAATTTTGAATGAGTACAGTATTTTGGGATTGTGTACTTCCAGGTAGATATGTGGTAAGTTGGCTCCCAAGCAACCCTGAAAAGAAAACGAGCTCGGGTTTGATTTTCAGAGACAGACACACAAACACATACCATGGATAATGAAACACATAGATGGCAAAATCCAGAGTTGCTTATTGGAATTGTGCATATACCATATAAAATTCCAAAAAACAACTCTTGTTTTTTTTTCAAGCTGTGATTGATTGAATCCATTGATGCAGAATCTGTAGACATATAATGGCAAAATCAAGGTTTGTTTTTTGGCATTATTATATACACACACTCTCTCTTATCCATAAAGACACACAGGGAGGGCTCACTACTTAGCAAACTGTCAGCTGGAATTCTTCACACAGGCCTCCCATGAAACCAGTGGTTCCCAACCTGTGGTCCATGGACCATCAATGGTCCCCAAGAATGAAAATATGACATGTAGCAATGAGAACGACTGGACTTACAAAATCCTCTTATAGTGCTGAGGCAATGGGTATGTCAGGAAGGGAGAGGCTGACTACCAACGAAAGGTGTGACAAACCTCCTGACTGCTGCTTTTCCTCTTCCTCCCTCCACCTGAACGGAGCTGTTCCATGTGGCGCCTGGAAACAGAGGCACCTTGGTGTCATTTTTAGCCCTGTTCCTGGGGTTATTTGGGGTGCTGATTCAGGAAATTGCATTGCGTAGATCACATCAGCTCTAGATTATTAAATATGGGTGAGCAGATGGCGACTCCTGGATGGCATATGTTCTGTATCAGAAACTAGAACTGATGTGGTCTATCCAATGCAATTTTCTGAATCAACACCCCAAATATTATTTATTTAAAAGTTTTGTATACTGGCCTTCTCACCTCTCTTGAGGGACTCAGACTGGTTTCCAACCATAATATCACATACAATCAATAAAACATCGTAATACATATTACAGTAAAACATTAAAACAGCAATTACAATCAATAACTATAATGGTCAGTCGTTACACTAAAATCGCTGCTCATCATCCTCCATCCATATCTCAGGGTGTTGGCTCACTCGTCGAATGCCTGTCTCCATAACCAAGTCTTCACCTGTTTCCTAAATGTCAGGATAGAAGGGGCGGTTCTGATCTCCAGTGGGAGAGAGTTCCAGAGTCAAGGGGCTACCACCGAGAAGGCCCTGTCCCTCGTCCCCACCAGACGCGCTTGTGAGGCCGGTGGGACCGAGAGCAGGGCCTCTCCAGACGATCTTAATAATCTTGATGGTTCGTAGGGGAGAATACGTTCGGAGAGGTAAACAGGGCCAGAGTCGTTTAGGGCTTTATAGGTTAACACCAGCACTTTGAATTGTGCTCGGAAGCTAATTGGCAGCCATTGGAGCTGGTGTAACAGCGGAGTGGTGTGCTCCCTGTACCCAGCACCCGTTAGTAGTCTGGCTGCCGAGCGTTGGACTAGCTGCAGCTTCCGGGCAGTCTTCAGAGGCAACCCCACGTAGAGAGCGTTGCAGTAGTCTAAACGGGATGTAACCAGAGCGTGGACCACCGTGGCCAAGTCAGACTTCCCAAGGTACGGGCGCAGCTGGCGCACAAGTTTTAATTGTGCAAAAGCTCCCCTGACCACCGCCGAAACCTGGGGCTCCAGGCTCAGTGATGAATCTAGGAGAACTGGATCTAAAATTGACCAAAACTGATTCTTAACCCTTTTGGAACTAATGTTGAAGGGTGGTCCCTGGTAAAAAAAAAAAAAAAAAACCCAAGGTTGGGAAACACTGCACTAAGCTCTGTGGCCTGAATTTCAAATAAGCCTACATTAAAAAGTAAAGGTAAATGTTTTCCTGACATTAAGTCTAGTTGTGTTCGACTCCGGTGAGTGGTGCTCATCTCCATTTCTAAGTCGAAGAGCTGGTGTTGTCCATAGACATGGTCATGTGGCCAGCATGACTGCAGGGAACATCGTTACCTTCTCGCAGAAGCGGTACCTATTGATCTACTCACATTTGCATGTTTCGTATCATTTCCTGTCCCCAACCAACACTGTTTTAAAACCACAGGTATAATGATTTTCACTTTTTTCCTTCTGAAAGGAATCACATTGTTACAGATCTCAATGTATTTCAACAGTTAAATTTGGGCAACCAGGAAAGGGTTGCTATAAGACCCTCTCCATTACCCTTATCTGTATGTAAATAAATATATATGTATTCATTCAGATGTAAACATGCATATAAAATATGGGTTCATAAATCCATATGTGTGTATATGTATATATGTGTGTGTGTGTATTTATCAATGTATATATTGTTTATATAAATGTGTGTATGTGTATATACCCGGTGGGTCAAAAGTCACAAAGGGGTTTCAATACCAGGTGGGCTAAAAGTTACAAAGGGTTTCAAAATTCATTAATTTTTTAAATTTATAATTCCACGGCATCATATGCAGCGGGTGTGGGAAACTCTAGCCCTCCATCTGTTTTGGACTTCAACTCCCACAATTCCTAACAGCCTCAGGCCGCTTAAGCAGCTGAGAGGGAAAAGGAAAGGGCCTGGGGCTGTTAGGAATTGTGGGAGTTGAAGTCCAAAACAGATGGAGGGCTAGAGTTTGGCCAGGCCTGCCTCAGATGCCGAAATTTGCCCATGTATTCATATATAGAGAGAGGGTGTGAGAGGAGCAGAGGAATCCTAAGCCGTTAACGGTCCCTTGTTCCTCCTTTCCTTTGGTGCCTGCACATTCCTTTAAAGAGAATGGGAGTACTGGGTAGCCCATCGTGTCGCGACAGTGATGGGCGCTGCGACCCATCTGCCGACCACCTCGCCTTACAATGAGACCGCATGACGTCACGCGCGGCTTCCCTCAAGCCGAAGGAACCTTTGGCGGTCCTCCCTATTAAAGGCCTGGGAGAGGGGGCGTGGCCAACCCGCCCACCTCATGAGTATTCATAAGCCCGAGGCGGCCGCGCGCCGAGGCCCCGATGGGGCGGGCCCGTAGAGGGGAAGGCCCCGCCCCTTCCAGCCTAGGCCGGCGCCGAGGTGGGCGTACCTCCAAGCGCGACGTCGCCCACTCCTTCGCTGAATATTGATGAGGCGTCTCGCGGAGCGTGCTGTCGTGTCAGCCCGGCGCGGCTCCCGATTGGACGAGGGCGTGTGTGCGCGGTGACGCGCGTCGCGGCGGTGCGGGTCCCGATTGCTGCAGCCGCTTGTCAGTGTGACGAAGATTGGCACCCAAGGTAAGCGCTGTCACTCAAACCTGCTCCTAGCCAGCCAGCCAAGCAGCCAGCCATCCATCCATCACGGCGCGCCCGACGCCGCCGCCGCCGCCAGTGCCGGCCGCCTTGGCTGAAGCCGCGCAAACGGACCCGGGGGTGTGGGGCGGGGGAGGCGAGGCCGACATACGGAACAGCAGGGCGGGGGCATCCTCGAGTGGCGGGGCGGGAGGGAGGGGGGGTTGGCCGAGGGGCGTCGGCAGGCAGGCAGGCAGGCGCGAGGGAGGGGGAGTGAGGAAAATTCTGGAACAGCCGTTGCTCTTGTAGGAGGGGGAGGGGGAGTCGGCGGGCGCGCGCGCGCGCCGTGGAACGAAGGTGTCGCGCGCCTCAGGGGGTGGAGGAGGGGAGGGGGAGGAGGAGGGGAGAGAAAAGGGCAACAGCTGTTTGTGGCGCGAGGCGACGCGGGGGGCGGGGGGGGGGGAGCAGAGGCAGAGGCAGAGGAGAGCGAGATTTAAAGGGGCCGCTTTCAGGGACATTCCGATAGACCTGGAGCAGCGGGGAGAGAGGCAGCAGCTGCTTGTGCTTCTCCTCCTCCCAAGTGCCCCTCCTTCCCTCCCCCTTCCTCGAGTGCGGCTTGGGCTCCTTTGGCCCTCAGCCCGCGGGGAAGGAAAGCCAACCCTGAGGGAAAGGCCCTTCCTCCTCCTCCTCCTCCTCGCCTTTCCGTTGTTTCAGATTCCCTTTTCACCTGTAAACTGAGGGCCCTTCCAAACAGCCATATAAACCAGAATACCAAGGCAGAAAATCCAACAATATTTGCTTTGAACAGGGACATCTTGAGTCCACACACTGCCATATGTCCCATATATATAAAGCAGAAAATGTGGGATTTTATTCAACTGGGTGAAAGGGGCCTGACATTATGAGACGTGCGAAGGTTTTCATAATATGGCTGTGAACAATAAAACATGAGGTGTTTCACCTCCTTTCTGTCCCCTTTCCTTACTTATCTCCTTTCAGATATATATATTATATATGAGGAATATTTGTGTCTCATGTCAACTCCTCCCAAAACGGATTGAATTTTGAAAGATTCTGGAGATAATCCACCAAGCATTATTATTCCTCCTTTGTGATTATTTTTGTGAGGGGTAATAAATGTTGTATATATTTATATTTGAGGCATCCTGTGATGTCGCACTGCCACCCCCTGACAGGAACAAAAGGCTTCTAAATACAATAGAGTCTCGCTTATCCAACATAAACGGGCTGGCAGATTGTCGGATAATAAGGGATGAAGGAAAAGTTTATAAATGTAAAATTACATTATAATTTTACAAATTAAGTACCAAAACATGTTTTAAACCAGGGGTCCTCAAACTAAGGCCCGAGGGCCAGATGTGACCCTCCAAGGTCATTTACCCAGCCCCCACTCAGTGTCAACCTAAATCTGAAATGTCTTGAAAGCAGACAACAACAACAATCCTATCTCATCAACCACACTTCCCATTGAAATACTAATAAGTTTATATTTGCTAAAATTGTTCTTCATTTTAATTATTGTATTGTTTTTAAGTGGGTTTTTTTGCACTGCGAATAAGATATGTGCAGTGTGCATAGGAATTCATTCATGTCTTTTTTTCAAATTATAATCCGGCCCTCCAACAGTTTGAGAGACTGTGACTTGGCCCTCTGTAGCCACATAATACTTATGGCAGGTCTTTGTGCAGACTTCTACTGAAATAAATTCATTTCTGGAATTCTGGTCACAAAAAAGGTTTGAGGACCCCTGTTTTAAACAAATCGACAGAAAAAGCAGTTCAATACATTGTAACGTTGTGTAGTAATTACTGTATTTACAAATTTAGCACCAAAACATTGCAATGTATTGAAACAGCTGTGGATCTGGGTGGGAGGCAAACTGCGTTGGGTAATACAGAACATTGGATGAGCAAGGTTGGATAAGCAAGACTCTACTGTAACAGGGCCAGCACCCCTTATCTGGAAATCAGAAAGCGCAATTGTCCAAATGGCCGGCTAAGATAGGATTGTCCAAATGGCTGGCTAAGAAAATATGGGTTCATAAATCCATATGTGTATATATGTTTGTATCAATGTATATATTGCTTATATAAAACACTTGCTTTCTGATGCTTTAACATACATTGATTTTGTTTCATACATAAAATTATTGAAAAACATCATACAATAGACTCAGATCAACCCTGGCAAAAAGTTGAAAAAATAATATGTAATAATAATAATGAACTTTATTTCTAGACCACCATCTCTCCTCAGAGGGACTCAGGCGGTTTACATATAAAAAGGCAAACATTCAATGCCTCAAAATGGGTACAGACACATCAAAATAATACAGGGTGATGGAGGGTAAACTTACAACAAAGGAATTAAATCTCAAATATAATAAAAAATTAAAATAAAAGCATTGAAATAAAATAAAAACAAGGACAATCCACTAAGACATAAAAACAAAAACATAAGTAAATATTTCAATGTACACTCTAAAAGCAAGTTAAGATACATTACATTAGTGGTTATCAACCTGTGGGTCCCCAGATGTTTTGTGCTTCAACTCCCAGAATTCCTAACAGCTGGTAAACTGACTGGGATTTCTGGGAGTTGTAGGCCAAAACACTTGGGAACCCACAGGTTGAGAACCACTGCATTACAGTAAAAATGGCTGACATCGCTGCTTTGTTTAAGATGTCTCATAACATAAAATACAAGTGGATTAGCCACCATTCAAAGTGCCCTGGTCCTCCCCTCTATACACTAAAATACATTTTTAAAACTTTAAAACTATTTTTTATAAAACAGTAATAATAATAATAATAATAATAATAATAAACTTTATAACCCACCCTATCTCCCCAAAGCAGGGGTTCTCAACGTTCCTAATGCCGTGACCCCTTAATATAGTTCCTCATGTTGTGGTGACCCCCAACCATTACATTATTTTCATTGCTACTTCATAATTGTAATTTTGCCACTGTTATGAATTGTTATGTAAATATCTGATATGCAGGGTGTATTCTCATTTACTGGACCAAATTTGGCACAAATACCCAATATGCCCAAATTTGAATACTGGTGGAGTTGGAATGGGAGGATTGATTTTGTCATTTGGGAGTTGTAGTTGCTGGGATTTATAGTTCACCTACATTCAAAGAGCATTCTGAACCCTACCAACGATGGAATTGGACCAAACTTGGCACACAGAACTCCCATGACCAACGGAAAATACTGGAAGGGTTTGGTGGGCATTGACCTTGAGTTTTGGAGTTGTAGTTCGCTACATCCAGAGAGCACTGTGGACTCAAACAATGATGGATCTGGATCAAACTTGGCATGAATATTCAATATGCCCAAATGTGAACACTGGTGAAGTTCAGGGAAAATAGACCTTGACATTTGGGAGTTGTAGTTCCTGGGATTTATAGTTCACCTACAACCAAAGAGCATTCTGAAGCCCACCAATGATAGAATTAAGCCAAACTTCCCTCACAGAACTCCCATGACCAACAGAAAATACTGTCTGTGATGGTCTTTGGTGACCCCTCCAGGGGTCCCAACCCCCAGGTTGAGAACCACTGCCCCAAAGGGACTCAGAGTGGTTTACAAAAAATAACAAAAATGGCAAACATTCGATGCCTAGAAACAAATAGACAATCAAGGCAAAAATAAAATCAAATCAATATAACTTGTAAACAACTGAAAACAAGGGTTAAACAAAATAAACATAATAGACACAAAGAGTCTAACCAATTAATATACAACACATTACAAGCACAATATAATATATCACACTGTTACATTAAGTTAGGTTTGTCTTCACCTGATTTTAATCTGATTTTAATTACTGTATTTCAATATTAATGTCAAGTTAATACAGAGATTATAGTATGGAGTGCAGTATTAGTTTAGCTTATTTTTAACAGTGACTCAAGCAACTAGAAACCACATTTATTCAGCATCTACCATTCCTCATGGGTGCCAGTTAATTGAGAGTGTACTGTATGGGTATGAGGCGTATATGAAACATAAATGAATTTTGTAGTTAGAGTATGTACATGTAAGTATTCCATATTCTGGTCCCAAGAATCTCTGATAAGGGAAATTTGAGTTGATACAAGCAACACATGTTAACAACCCATCTTGGAACAGATAGTGTATCTCTTGTACTCCTTTCTAAGTTTTAGTGTTCAGATTTAATTTTTTAAAACCATTGGAATAAAACCAAAAAATTGATGCAGGCAGTGTCCGAATTAAAAGCTTTCAACTTACAAATTGTTCATAGTTAAGAACAGGGGGTGAGACAAAAGGGAATGAGAGAAATCTATCACTTGAAGGAAAAATTCACTCCTGAAAAGGTTATCATGGGGAAACGGTGTCTCCACTGACACCTTATCACCAATCCTTGTTTCTACAAGCCATTTTTTCAAAATCCAATTGTCACAGGGACAAAAAGTGAGGTGAAATATTTTGAACAGGAGCACAGACAACAAAACAAACACCACAGGGGTATTTACCCTTCCCTATGTTATCCAAAGCTAAGAAGTATATATTTTGGAGGGAGTTACACTTTTAAAAAGTGCCCCTTACAACCAAATTCAGTTTAAGAACAATCCTACAAAACCTGTCTTGTTAGTTTCTTGGGGACTTGCCTGTATACATACAGGATATAAAAATCAAAGTATGTATGTTTGTACCACAAAGGCTCCAATGGGACTGAATGGATCTGGACCAAACTTGACACATATGCCCATAATTACCCAAAATAAAATAATTGAGGAATTTCAACTGTAAAAGTAAAATAAAACAAAGTATATAGATTGAAACAATTACCTACTGGTCTGTAGGTATGTATGCATGCAGTACTCAGATGCAACTGCAAGAGGGCAATATATATAGGCAATATATACCACCACAGCAATGCCACCACAGAGAAGTGGGCTGATGTATGTCAAAACACTTTGGTCTGAGTGGAGGAACAGATTAACTTGCCC